CGTGCCCCTCACCCTCTGCCCCAGTAGGCGCTAAGCTCCAGGAGAGCAGAAACTTGACAGTTTCTCGCTCTCATTCCTGTACTCCCTGCACTGTTGGCGGGATGAATGTGTGCAGGCAAAGGACCATACCTCAGGCTTGCAGCAACTGCTCACTCTTGAATAACTTTGATTCCACAAAAACACAATGACTCAGAGCTGACGGCATTTTCTCAGCATGCAATGTAATTCTTCCACACAGCCAAAGAGTTCCCATTGTCAGGAGAAAGTAGGAAAGAATCCCTTAGGGCAGGTAAGCTCCATGAGGACACATGTTTGGGGTTCATGAATATTTGTTGACTAAAGAACATTGCCACCTAATCCTGAGATCCTGGAGTGGCAGCATAGAGAACTTTTGGTGCAACCGAGCCACCTGGCCAGGGCCAACCCATCACTTCTCCCCCATAACTTGAATGTGATAGAGCCTTCTTACCACACGGTGCTTGTTGCCTGACCCACCTGCTTCCCAGGGTCTGGACCATCCCAGACTCAGTAAATATTTTTCAAAGAACCCATCATAGTTGTTGCTGGCTGTTCCCTGCCTTGAAGCCCCTTTTAAAGTGCTCATGAGGTGTCACAGGGGAGGGAGGTGACAAGGCCCTTGTCTTTACTTCTCAAAGACAGTGCAATCGCAAATACAAATTTTTATACAAAAAACAAAATCCCTGCATAATTGCTGCCAACATGTCAGTTTTTAAGTTCTAGAACAGTCATGAAATTAGGAGGGGGTGTCCCAGCTCAGCAGTGAGCAAATGCTGGTCAATGGACAACGTGGGGCTGTCTGGGCTGAACCACCTGAGTGAAGTGTGTGTGTGTGTGTGTGTGTGTGTGTGTGCGTGAGCGCGCATGCATGCACACGTGCGTACACACACACGAAATTACCCCAGGATACTAGCCAAATGTGAAGTTGATATATCTTTCCTAGTCTCATATCTGTTTAATTTATGGCATTTAATAAAGGAGAGAGGCTGCCCGTAGTTCATTAAAAATGTTACAACAACCACATGGAGAACCAAAGAATTTTTTTAAAAGCAGTTACTCATAATTCATCCTTGGTAAAATAACTGGAAGTAAAAATAATTTAACAAATTTTATCCTTTCCAAAAAACAACTCAAAACACAACAAACCTAAAAAAAGGCTCTTCCGCCCATTTACTTACTGACATTTTTCCGAAAGCGCAGACATGAACGAATCCGGTGAGTACACGGTTTTTCTGTTTTCCTGGGCCCTCCCCCTGCCTGAGGTCTGAGCTCCAAGAACTGCACTGGGGTGGGGGTGGGTAGAGGATCCCCGGACTCGCTTGGGTTCAGGCACCAGGGAGAATGGAGGCCGAGGAGATGAACTTGGGGTAGTTCTTACTGACTCTGGTCCGGACGCTCAGCAGAGGTCACGTGTCCTCCAGCTCCCGGTGCTGGCCCTGCCCTCCTCCGAGCCCCAGCCACTGCTGGGCAGCAACAACCTCCAGCTGATGCTCATGTGCCTTAAACCTGCTCATCTCTCGGCCAGCTGGTAGCCCCTTCATTTAAGTCTCCTGAACTCCAACAGGTGCTGGAATCTCCTGCAGGGACCCCCACTAATACCTCAATAATAAGACACCAGGACAGTGCTGTCCTGATTTGCTGGTCACTGGTGGACATCAACTATGTTAATGCTGGTATTTCACTGGTATGACTAATGGCCCGGAACTTGTACCTCCAAATTGTATTGCCTCCTCAAGTGACACCTTAGGATACTTTAATACCTATTCCTATGATGGCCAACCTGTTAAAATATACCGAGGTTGCCTTTTAAGGTTCCCTTCAGTGTTCATACACATTATTTTGAATAATGCTGGAAAATGGCCTTCCTTTGATGGCAGATTTAATTCCAATCAACAAGCAATATCACATTAAATAGGTGAAAATTAGCAATAATTTCATCATTTATATGCAAATTCACTCACTGTCCTCAATATTTCTTTTATAGCTTGTGTTTCTTCCCCTTTTCTTTTAAGCCAATCAAATTTCACGAATGGCTTTTGGCTGCCTCTTAGGTGCTTTAGGGATGCAGATGGGCTGTGTGTGTGACTGCTCTCCTGTGGGCTGTGTAACACCACAAACGGATCCACTGGATCCAATGACTGTGCTCCTGGCATCGCAGGAGACAGGCTTAGGCAGGGGAGGAGATGAGTTGGCCATTCGTAAGGGCCATTACATTGGTATGAATAGTCAGCATTTTCCCTTTTCATGTTAGGACAGACAATGATGCTGTTCCCATAGCTCCCCGGGGTAAAGGGACGGGGATCCTTGGGGGCTGCCTGGGCTCCAGCTGCCTCCGGTCCCGGGTGCTAGGGGCGGGGGGACCTACATGTGTAGTACACCTTGGAAATGTTGGGACCAAAAGTTTCCCAGCGTCTTTACGCCCAGGACATTCATATTCCCAACCCCTGTCGGAACCTGCTGTGCTTCTTCCTCTCAAGAGCTGAGGCTGGAGCCTTGCCCTGTCCCCTTTCGGCAGCCACATGCACACACCAACCTGGAAAGACAAAGACAGAGCTGGCCTTTCCCATGGCGTTTATTCAGCCAACTGGCTGCAGGAGGGGGGTCAGCAAGGGAGTCGGAGTGTTGGGGGGAGGTCTGAGTGGGATGAGCTGAAGGGTGGGATTTAAACACAACATCATCTTATAAATGGTTCGATGGAAGGTTTACAAATATCCATTTAAAAAAATAGACTCCTTGGAGGGTCACAGAGGCAGATCACGAACCGCCCGGAATACAATCAATGAGCAGCTTCTGTTCATGGCATTCCCTCCGGCCAAAGGCTCCGAAAGTGGTCTGCATTGCAGACTGTCACGACTTGCAGACACGTGTGATACAGATTTCCAATGCAGAACAATACAGACTAGCACAGAGTCACGTGACTACAACACAGAGGAAAACTGAGCGCACGAAAACAGCGATCATCTGGTAGCAAAAATAGATGTATGCCGATGTTCCTATCAAAATTAGGGACATTCAGATACATTATGCCAATACGTTGGAACCGTTACTCCTAAGATCATAAGGACCACTTCTTACTGCTCCTGCATAACAAAGGTCTGAGGAGATTCTACGGCAGCCGAAAGGCATGTGCAAGTCACAGAATGTGTGGCGGGCCTGCGGCAAGGTGCGACAGGCAAATGAAAACTTTGCCGTTTGTCAGTTTTCTCTCACGGTTGACACTGGTAACAGTAGAACAGCCCACTCATCATAAATCTGGAGAACACAGCCGAAGGACAGTGCTCAAAGCCCAAGCAAATGACTTACGGGAAGTAATCAGAAGCAGGATCTGAGGAAAGCAGCAGCCTAAATGAAGAAAACATTTTAAAATTGCTTTGTATATTTTTCTCTCCCAGACAGTCCCACAGGAGGGCATTCTGGGACTCGATGACGGGATTGCTGTCCTACAGTGAACTGTTTAATTAGTACCAGACCCAGCCTGGCTCCCGGAAGGGGTTAGTAGTTGACTCGGGGAAATACTGACCTAGGACGGGCTGCCTGGCCACACTGGAGCCTGAGGGCTCCTCCCCAATGGGTCTGGATGGATCTCCTGGAGCTTTGGGGGAGGGGGGGCGGGCGGAGGGTGAATGGTGGCCACAGGACAAGTGAAGTGTGATGGGGTGGGCTGCACAAAGTCCCATTTCCAAGAATATCTGTGTAATTCTCCGTAAACTTGGGTTGGAATAACCAGGAATAAAATGCAAGTTACAGCAAGGGTCTCAAATGGTGCAGTGTTTGGCATTATTTAATCAGGGGATTCAACATCCGGAAAACTCAATTTTTACCTCAATTCTGCCCAAACAATGCCATGTTTCTGTTTACTTCATCTTAAAAATATAAAATGCCACAGAACTACGAATTAGGTGGGAAAGTGCTTTTTAAAAAATACATTTTATTGATTTTTTTTACAGAGAGGAAGGGAGAGGGACAGAGAGTTAGAAACATCAATGAGAGAGAAGCATCGATCAGCTGCCTCCTGCACACCTCCTACTGGGGATGTGCCCGCAACCAAGGTACATGCCCTTGACCGGAATCGAACCTGGGACCCTTCAGTCCGCAGGCCAACGCTCTATCTACTGAGCCAAACCGGTTAGCGCGGGAAAGTGCTTTTGAGAATAGGGACTAAAGGGGGAAAAAGAAGCCATTTCCCCCACAAGGCAGTTTTAAGGTGATAATGTCAGGAGGCATCCCCACGCTGCTCAAACTTCGGGAAAGCCCCTGAGAGATACTGGCACTGACGAGATTTTAAAATCTGTATGCAGTTCTGCATCATATTGTAATTCCTCCCCATCCCCATCGCAAGTAAGATGACTACAAGGATGATATTTGGCCCATTTAGCCTTGTGATTCCAAAGTAAAGCATAATATCAGTTAAAATAACAGCATCGAGACAAAGAATTTCCAAATACTCAACACAAAGCCACATCCGCTCAGACTGCATGGGGTTTTTTTTTCCTTTTTTGAGCAGCTCTGGAGCAGGCCACTTTCATAGTCAATGTGACTGCAGGTCCACATTTCCCTTCACACTGTGAACGCTATATCTGTTTTCCCCGAGGACCTGAAATCTACCGCCCACGCCTTCCGTCTCGGAGCAGAATTTGGATACACGCTTGAAAGGAAAAGAACAAAGCACACACCGGAGACTGTGACTGGCCATTTAACTGCTCAGAAACGGAAATGCTATTCGCATCGTGTTCCCGCTGACATCTGGATGACATGGGACGGGCGGGTGCAATATTTAATGAGTCGTTTATTGTTTTTAAAATGCTAGTCACTCGCAGATGCCTCTCCACTTAGAAAACGTAACACGGTCCAACTGCTGACCTGGTGCGACACTGAAAAATCATGCGTTCTTTTTTCTGCCATTTATTCTACTTTTTATTCATAGCATTCTACACGCTCGAAGTTACTATGTAAATATCTAAAAAATGTTTTCGGGAGAAATCTTTTTTACCACATCATTTTATTTCAGACTCCATAGAATTATTATGAACATTAGAAGAAAAGGCTTAAAAATTAGGCTTTGGTTTTCATGGAATCTGGGCCGAAGTCGGAATTGCTTTGTTGACACAATGGAACTACTGCACAAATTCTATTCTTGTCATTTGAAATGACACATTTACAAAGACAAAGTTCCCCCTTCGGTAGTTATGATCCGCGTTATTCGGGTCGGCTGCAAAACTCGCAAAAGGGGGGCCTAAGTAAGACGTGTGGGTGGGGGTACGACATCGAAAGCTGCACCAGGCACAACACCGGGAAGAACATCAGTCCTCTACGTGTGTCTCTAAGGCAGATGGTCCAACTTTTTATACAAGAGCTAAAAGACGGTGCTTATCGAGAGGTAGAAAATACCCAAACAGTGTTTTAAAACAATCAACTATTTTGCTAACCTGTGACAAAGTCACACTGCTGTGTGGAAGGAGCTGGAGGTTTTACACTGAACTGGGACACCCCACACGGCAGAGATGTGGTCACACAGGGGGGGAGCCAGGGGCGCTGGGAGCGGAAACCAGTTTCTTCACTTGTAAGGATTCAGCTCTCACTCAGGAGAAATTTCACCTGCCTCTTCGGGATTTCATTCTGACGTTTAATTCATGAGGATTTCAGGGCTTAATGGTAGTTCCTCTGAGTGACGGTACGATTCTGCACAGGAGGCAATCAAACCATAGGGAGGGATGAGCTCAGATGCTTCCTCTTCAAGAAGGCGCCATGAGCATCTTCTATAAAAACACATGTCACTGAACTGATGACCTCTCAACCACCAAATTGCAAATCAAATCTTCTCCAGACTCCAGCACCAGCAGGATGGCTCTGTATGAGCAGGTCGGGAGCTGTCCGAGGCAGAGAAACTGAGCTACCAAATTGAACTTGGGTGGTGTCCGCATGGGTGAGCAACCCTGGGCATTCTTCTCATTTCTGTCTTTCTTTTCCTCCTCCTTTCTTAATGCACCTGGGAGACATGGATTGTTTTCTCTCCAACATAATTTTATAAGGCATCCATTTAATCTGAAATTTCCTAACCTTTGGGAAATTAGTGTTAAAGCTTCTTTTGCAACCCACACATTAACATTCAATCTTTCATTTTTATTAAATACTTTATATATATATAAAAAAGCAGTATCAAGGTGTTCTACATTCGTATAAACAATCATGATAACATTGGAAATTGTAAAGAACCCTAACCGAAGAAAATATATACTTGAATACTTACAACGCTAAGCTAAGCACAGTGATCATTCTAGGGAATGCTTTATAAGTGCACAGACACAGGTGTGGCGTGGGAAGGCGACACGGGAGAAGGACAGGAATCATCGCTCTTGCCCCTTTCACCACAGGACAGGATGGTCCAGCTTGGAAAAACCGAGATCTTTCCTCAGTTCCAGATAGGTGCCGTTGCTCACCCAGGAGTCATCAGCGGATTTCCTGTGGGAGGTAAGGAGGTTGTGAGGCTCTGGACAGTCCTGTTCTCCCGCCTTCCCCCTCCTCCTCTCCGGCCCGCTGCCATCCTCACGTGCATGCAAGGCCCCTGACAGCCCAGTACTGCAGCTGTGAGGAAAGTGCACACCTGGAAACCTTTCTCTTATTTCTGACTTTGCTCTCACACATAGAGGCTGTCAAACATGGTGCTTCTGCGATAAGATAGCCACCGCCTTGTGCATGACTGCGTAAAACTAGTCAACCTGGTTGCTCATATCAAGTGAGAAATTAACATTAAGAACAAAAGGAGTAGGAAGCCATGCCGGTCTGGAGAGAATTGCCTTGGTTCATCATTCTTGGACAACATCCAAGTTCAAAAGATGCAAAAGGTAAGTAGCTAGAAGAGTTTTCCTACTCCTGTCTCCCAGTTCCCCCAGAAGCAATAGTGTCATCAGCTTCATTCTTTCAGAGAAATGTCATGCATGCGTGAGGTACACACACACACACACACACACACACACACACACACACACACTCCACCCCTCTCCCATTTTTCACTCGATGGGTAGCACTGTGGTGTCCTACCCCTTATATTGGAGATCATTTTCTAGTGTCACAATAAGGTCAGCAAACTACAGCCCAAAGCCCAATTCCAGCCTTCTGCCTGCCTGCCTGTGTAGCACAGTTTTACTGGAATATGAACATGTCAGCGTGTAAGTACTGTCTGTGGCTGCTTTCATGCTGCAGCACGGGCTTGAGGAATCACTGCTGAGCCCTCATGGCCTGCAAAGCTAACAATATTTAACACTTGCCCTTTTCAGAAAAAAGTTTGGTGACCCCAACAATAAGAGATTCCTCATTTTTAAACAATACAGCTACCTAATATACCATTGCAGGGACGGGCTGCAATTTAACAGGTAACCTGCAGGGTGGGCATTTAGGAGGTTGTTTTCAATCTCTAGCTATTATAATCATGTTTATAATAATACTAGAGGCCTGATGCACGAAATTTATACAAGGGGCTCGGCCCTCGCAGCCCCAGCTTCGTCCAGAAGGCCATTCAGCTGTCCGGTCTAATTAGCATATTACACTTTTATTATTATAGATAATAAATGTATAATATCCTATTTTCTATATACATGAGCAGTTACAGTAAAAATTCCTGTAAGTAGAACGGCTGAGTCAAAGAGTACGTGTATTTGTAATTTTGATGGATATTGTCATGTTTTAGGAGCAAAAGCAGCGAGTGCCTGTTGTTCCACTCTCAGGAACGTCCCCCCACACTGTCCCCTGCTCTAATACAGGGATGTGTTTACAGGGAGCCAGCCTGCATCTCGGATCCTTCACTGCGAACCAGAGCCTGATGCTGCCCAAGCTCTGGTTTCCACTTGAAATTCTCGGTGACACTGTCACTGCTCCTCAGCGGTGTGAATGGAGACATCCAAGGCCCCACATTCCTCTCTGTCGTCTCCTGTCCAATACTGACAACTTTATAGAAAACCCGAAGGAAAAGGGGCCACGGCCACTCGGCCACAGCTGTGCTGTCCTCTGCCACTGCAGACAGAGTCTGAGATGCAGGACAGCCTCAACGACACTTTACAGTTTGCACTTAATGTTCACTTGCTTCCCAGCGGCTCCCACAGACTCTGTGAGTCATTTTTGATGTTTTCACATTAGACCAAGCTGATGAATCTCCTTACCTAGTTCTTGGGCCAGTTTGGTTACCCACAACGTTTAATGATTCTGAAAAATACTGTAACGAGCGCCTTTATAAATGCAGACTCTCCTTGTTTAAAAATGACACTAGATGATTTATGAGGGGAAAAAAAAGAATTGACCTTCTTAAGGGTATATGTGTGTATCAGTTGAGCCATTTATCTATAACTTGCCTTAAAAATAATTTAAGGTCTTTTTAAAAAAAATACATTTTATTGATTTTTTACAGAGAGGAAGGGAGAGGGACAGAGAGTTAGAAACATCGATGAGAGAGAAACATCGATGAGCTGCCTCCTGCACACCTCCTACTGGGGAAGTGCCCACAACCAAGGTACATGCCCTTGACCGGAATTGAACCTGGGACCTTTCAGTCCGCAGGCCGATGCTCTACCACTGAGCCAAACCGGTTAGGGCTACGGTCTTATTTTTAAAAATATTTATATGAAGTTATGAATATTTTGGGATGAAATTCTAGCCAGTTAATCTTCACCTGCTCACCTCCCGAGTTTGTGAAAGTGATCAGAAGGGACCTGGCAAGATCCACATCAGCTTTGGAGGAAAAAGCATTGTATTTGGGGGATAGAACATTACTTATTGCTCTTTAGCTGTTCTGGAAAACATACTTTATTGCTGCTGTGGTAGATTAGTAACTAATTCCTCCTAAAAGTGCTTCTGTTGCCCATTAAAAACCATCATCAACAAAAACAACAAATCCACCCAAACAACAAAAAAACCCTGGTTGCCCTGAAAGCAAGACTCAGAGGAAGAGTGAGGGCAGGAACTCCTGGCTTTTCCACAAGTGCCTGTTTTAATGTTGATTTAAGAAAATATCTAACAAAACCCCTAAAACCGTATAGAGGCCTGGCCTGGTAGTCCAAGAGCCAGGCCCAGTCCAGGACATTCCATGGGGTCCTTCCACAGGTCACACCCTCCTCCCCCAAACCCCTGTTCCCTGGGTCTTCGTTTCTTTCTTTTTGTGTGTGTTTTAATATATTTTTATTGATTTCAGAGAGGAAGGGAGAGGGAAAGAGGGAGAGAGAGAGAGAGAAAGAGAGAGAGAGAGAGAGAGAGAGAGAGAGAGAGAGAGAGAGAGAGAGAGAGAGAGAGAGAGAGAAAATCATTGATTGGCTGCTTCCTACATGCCCCACACTGAGGATCAAACCTGCATCCCGGGCATGTGCCCTGACTGGGAATCGAACCGTGATTCCTGGTTCACAGGTCAACACTCAACCATTGAGCCACACAGGCTGGGCTTTTTTTTTTTTTCTGTTAAAATAAAAGAGGCGGCAAAGGGCTGAATACCTCTGATGCCCCTTCTACAGCTTTATTTTTTTTAACGAGACCTTCTTGGCAAGTTACTTTAAAATGAATAGTACATGTTCCAAATCCAAGCCCAAGTGCATTGGAACTTCTGCAGTTTGGACACTTGGTTCCATGTTGGTAGCCAGCGGGGTGATCCTTAATGATCTCTCGCTGTGTAAAACACCTCGGTGGGGGACCACGCTCAGACATGGATTTAACAAGCTGGCCGGCCTCGGGGGCCCGGTGAGGGCCGTCTCCTTGCTTCTCCCACACGCACTCACTGAGCACTTCCTTGCAAACTCACTGGGCTAGACGCCCTGAGACACAGCAAAGGAGGCAAGAAGACAGGACCGCTGGGGAGGGAGAGGCTGGGACAGCCAGAGCCCCGTGTCACAGAGGGGAGGTGTCACCACTCTGAAGCTGGAAACACACCAAGGGCCTCTTATTTGGGGAGGAGACACCCCTGTTCACTCTTCATACCAGAAGCATCAGGTGCCGCCAGTACCCACCAGCCAGTACCCCGCAGGGCCTGGGCACTCACCTGAAAAACCGCGGCTGGTGCTCCACGTTGTTCTCCTCCAAGACCCGCCGCCTGTCCCTCTGCAGCTGCTCAACCCTCTGCTTCTGCACCTCGGCTTCCTCCACGTTCCCTTCTTCCAGAAACCTGAGCGTGGAGGGAGAAATAAAGGACCTCAACTCCATGGAAATGTAGCGACGTTACTGCTGAAACTGCAGGTGTCCAAACTGGATATTCCCAACACCCTCCTATACATAGGCCCTTCTCTAACCCTTAAAACAAGATTGTGAGGTCGTCAGGGAAGATCTGATTTTTTAAATTGGTGATATATACATACTGTATATATCAAAAAATTATGTCTATACAAAGTAACTTGGAGTAAAGTCTCCCACTCATCCTTGTCTCTGATTCTTGCTACCTGTTTCCTGCCCACCCCACCGTCACTCCGCAGGTAATCCCCTGCTATTAGTTTCTAGTGCATTCTTCTAGACCAGGGGTGGGCAAACTTTTTGACTCGAGGGCCACAATGGGTTCTTAAACTGGACCGGAGGGCCGGAACAAAAGCATGGATGGAGTGTTTGTGTGAACTAATATAAATTCAAAGTAAACATCATTACATAAAAGGGTACGGTCTTTTTTTTTTTTAGTTTTATTCATTTCAAACGGGCCGGATCCGGCCCGCGGGCCGTAGTTTGCCCACAGCTGCTCTAGAATCTAGAGAGTCCTTATACCAAGAAAGCAAACATTCTTACCTCCTCTCTCTCCCTTTTGAAAATATAAATGGCAGCATGCTACAATACTGTCTATGCCGTGGCTTCTTTTGTTTTACCTTTTTTTAAATTCTCACCCGAGGATATTTTTTCTGTTGATTTTTTTTTTTTAAGAGAGAGAGTGGATGGGAAGGAGGAAGAGGAGAGGAGAGAGTGAAACATTGTTGTGAGAGAGACACATTGATTGGTTGCCTCCTGTATGCATTTTATAAAGTAGGAATCTGAGGCTGAGAAAGTTTAAAAGACTTATATGTTGCACAGCTTGTTACCAGCAAAGAATCAAAAGTTAGCTCTCAATGCATCAAAATAATTTAAATTCTAGGGGTGGAGGAGGAGGATGCTTTTTATTCTTTCAACACACAATAAGTTTTATTTTTATTGAATGCAGTAAAACTCTTAGAAATAAACACTTTTTTGATACTTCAATAGAAATGGGGCTCTACTGGTGACTAAAGGTCACGCCACACACAGCGCTAAGCTGGGCTCCGTTCCTGCCACACGGCTGCTTCAAGTCCCCCCGGCCCTCGATTCCTGATGACAGTCTCTCTCTCTCAGGTCTCCCTGGTGCCCCGGGAGTTGTTAATAACAGTCTTTATAAAAAGTTTTACATCTCTGGAGACAAAGATAGAAAAAAAAAATCCTTACCTTTGGTCTGGCCTAAATCGAGTGTCAGTAGGTGGTAATAAAGTCTTCAAGGATGAATCAATTTCATTTAATTCTAGTGCGAACTGTGTGAAGCCATAATATTGCTCATAGTCTTTGGGCATGGGATCTACAAGAAAAAGAGATCATTCATCCTAACTTGCATTTCATTTACTTTACTTTTTCATTGCATTTATGTTGCTTTTTAATTCCTTCGCCTTTTTCATCTCAGACCGGCCATCATTTCTCTCAGCTCTGAACTCTTCCACTTCTATTAAAATATTCTGGTTAGCAGCTGAACACTGCCCTATACATTTTCTTCTCTGCAAGTTTTCTCCTACCTACAAGGATAAGGCCTCTGCTGTATGGGTCGCACAGCAAATTTATAAAACACTGAAATTTCTAGACTGTTTAAGCTATAAAAATTGTTCATTTACTAAAATAAATATGTAAAAAAAGCTCTCGGTCCATTTTCCTGACAAACAATACTGCCACTCTAGAATCCAGGTGTGTTCTTTAAAATGCTCACCCAAGGACATGGAGAGAGAGAGAGAGAGAGAGAGAGAGAGAGGCATCAATTAGTTGCCTTCTGTAGGTGCCCTGACTGGGGATCGAACCTGCAACCCAGGTATGTGCCCCGATGGGGAATCAAACTGGCAGCCCTTCAGTGCACAGGACAACACTCAACCAACTGAGCTGCTCCAGCCGGGCTGGAGAATCCATTTTTCATTTGAGAGACGTCAAATTGTCCTAAAACTCTGTCTACTCCCTAAAATAGTGTTGAACTCCTAACAATTGGTCAATAAACGTTTTTTCTTCCATACCTGCCCTTCTTCTCACATATTTTAATGTAAAACCATCTCAGCAGAAGCCAGGGATGGAGGGATTATGCTGGCACAAACACACTGAGGGGACAGAGATGACGGGACAGAGGGAAGAAAGCTCCCGGGTTACTGGCATTTCACAGGCTGGGACCACAGAGTGCTCCAGCTGCACATGAGCCAAGGGGCGAGTGGCTGGGGTGATTCAGAGGCTCCCAGGCTGCCGCTGCCAGGGCAGGCCCAGACGGCACAGGCCTAGGGGCGAGGCTGCCACCACCTGGCAAAGGGTGGGCCCACTGCTGCAGCTTAGCCTGCAGGTGGCCACCACCCAGAGCCCGGGGACCGTGGAGGCAGGGCCACTGCCCCAGTGGGCCCAGAGGGTTGGACGTGGAACCAGAGAGAATTATTCTGGACCCTTACGATCTAATGACATTTTTTCCTTGCTAGTTCAAGCTTGCCTGGGGCCTGTCATCCCTCCGTGTCTCCCTTCGGAATGCCGATCCTTTGCCTGTCACCACTGTATTTTGGAAGCAGATTTTGGTTTCCTAGGCTCACAGCTGGAGAGGATGAATCACACCTCAAGCCTCACCCATGCCTGACATGATATTCAGATGAGACTTTGGACTTCAGAGTTGATGCTGAAATGAGGTAAGGCTTTGGGCGGCTGTTGGGATGGAATAAATAGATTTTGCCTGTAAGAAGGACAGGAATCTGGGGCCCAGAGGCAGAATGTTATATATACACTGAATGTATCCTCCCAGAATTCACAGGGTGAAGCCCTCCCCTCCGTGTGGCCTCTAAGGAAGTAATGAAGGTTAAATGAGGTCAGAAGGGTGGGGCCCTGAGCCGGTGGCCGCCTGCAAGCCAGGAAGAGGTCCCTCACCAGAGCCCAAAGGTGCCAGCACCTTGATCTTTGATTTCCCAGCCTCCAGAACTATGAGAAAATAAATTTCTATTGTTTAAGCCACCCAGTGTGTGGTACTTTGTTATAGCTGTCCGAGCAGATTCATGGAGACGTATTGCCCTAACTTGAATTCTAGCTAAAAATCAAGCTAAAAATACCCAAACTTACATATTGAGTAAATCAAACATAGGCTAATGAAATCACTCAAAGCCTGAGCTCTTGTTGCTCACATACACGAATACAAATATTTTCCATGAACTTTCTTCAGGCCTTTTTTTTTCCCCAGACCATTTTTGAAGTTTCAGAAGTCCTTTTTGTCAAATTCTAGGTCTAATGTTGAGTATCCTAAACATGAAAATCATACCAAGGCTTCCTAACGTGCCTTCAAACATCTATCCCCGTCTCCATCCCCCAGTGAAGACAGTGGTTTTCCTCGGAGATGGGCCTGGATGCTCATGGCCCAGGCAGAGACCTGAAGTCAGTGAACAACACTGACAAGAACAGCAGCTCACATAGTGTTCGTTCATCAGGGTTCCACTTTAGTACCAGAGGGGACGGCAGCTCTGCTCTGTGATACACACGTTAAGCAAAGGCAAGTGAATGCTTCATTTGCAGGATGTCACGTGTGCCCCTGAGCCTCTGCAGCTAGGACGGCGGTCATGGCACCAATCCCTTCTCACTGCACATGACCTCTGTGGTGGGGGAGGATGAGGCCGCCGCCCTCAGAAAGAGACACTGTTGGCTGCCCCTTCTGCAGCATCTCCCTTCCTTCCTTGCTAATGGAGACCGCTCTGGTCAGGCGGCACTGTGTCCTCCTTGCGGATGCATCTACCCATCCGACTCTCTCCTGCCTACCGGTTGCCCAGGACTGCTGTGGGATGGGCCTGGACCTGCTTCGGGCCGACAAAATGTAAAGGCATTTCCTGGGGGACCCTTGGAAACCCTTCCTTCCTGAGGAAGGGGAGACACAGCGGAGAAAGCTCTTTTGTCCTCCCTTCTCCCCGCTCGGCGAGCTGCCCCGTGGGGATAAGATACATCTACATCCAGGAGGGAAACATCATGGTCATATTGGGAATCACAGAAGGTGCCCTCAACGATCTGTGCTCCCTACACAGGGTGCCTCTCAGCAACCCTGGGCCCCCTGCCCCTCGCTTATTATTAAGTATCGGCACATAGCCTCATGCTTTAAGCCACCATTAGAATGGTTTTCTTGTTTTGTTTTGATAGGTCTCTCAGCACAAGGGGTTTATAATGTGACCATGACTGGGAAACACACTTAGAAGATGAACTAAAGTCTGCGCATGCTCTGGGGACCTGTTAGGAAGGTCTGGCTTCCCTGGTGGTCCTTCCACAGCTGCTTCTGGGCTCAGCATCCTTGTGGGATGGCAGGCGCGGCCAGAGTGGCTGTGGTGCTGGGTGAGTCTGGGGGAATCCCTGACTCTTGTAGAACCCCCAGGTCACCCTGCTTTTCCGGTAGCATTTTTCTCTTGTCCTACTAAAGAACGGCTTCTTGTCCTTGACTGATATCCCTTCTGTGCCCGGGCACAGGCACAGGCGGCTGGGTGCTGATGGAAGACGGTGGCCATGCATTAGCTACGGCCTCATTCTGGGATAAGAACCCAGGGCCTCCCAGAGCGACAGAGATGCTGCTGATGAGCAAGGGAATGAGTCTGAGACCTGATCCGGTGAATGAAAGAGGGACTGACAACTCAGACCCAGTTAGAAGCAGCCTGGAGACTCCATGGCCTCTGATGCCCACCGCTGACGCCTGCCCCTCCACAGTTCCTCCGGCCACGCCCCCACCATGCCCTGGGGCTGATGCCCCTGATACTGACTGGCTCTCCAGACACAGGTGGAGGAGGACGGGCCGCCGTAGTAGATGCTCTCATGCCATTTCCCGAAGAGCCGGTGCACCGCCTTCCCACTCTTGTCAAACACCGTACCTTCGATCTCGCGGGAGTTCGTGCTCCAGTATTTTGCCTAGGATTCAAAGGGGAATCGTCTGTTGAGTATTTTGGGGTCAACTTATTACAGATATGAAGAGGGGGAGGGGAGAGGAAAAAGAAAGAACCATAAGGGAAATTCTATATTGCATATAGTTTGCCAGTTTTGGACTCTATCTCTTTTTTAAAATCACACTTTTAATTATTTAATAAAAATTAATAGCTAGTTTTTTAGAGTTTGCAATCTCAACCAGCCAACATTTGGTAATTTTATGTGTGTGTAAGATACTTTTCTTCCCTACTTTTTCTACATGCAAAGAAATAGGAAAGCTCACTTCTACATCAGCCAAATAGTGTGGTTGGCTTGTAAGCCCCCACACATGCCCCGACCAGGGCCGCAGATTGAGCCTGCAACTGAGGTACATGCCCTTAACCCGAATCAAACTCAGGACCCTTCAGTCCGCAGGCCCACGCTCTAAGACTGAGCCATAGGGCCTGACAATTGCAATTTAAAAGAAATGTAATTCGTGTAATTTTTTTCTCTAAAGGCACAAGACAGTCTTTTATAAACCAATAAAGGTGGCTGCTTTGTAAACCAAGATTTTCTAGCACCCCCCCTCCCCCCCAAATCTAGATCTGTTCCTCCAAACACAGGAACCTGAGGCAACGCATATTCACACTGTGGTTGGTCCTGGTCTGAGACCAGCTGAGCTCGCTCAGCCCGGAGGGCTTTATACAGTACTACACCGCGCCCAGCAGAGGGAGCTCTCACTCCCTAGAGTTGATTTTTTCCAGATCTTTCAATTACCTGGCTGCCCTACAAAATCTCTACGGAGAAAAAAAAAAGAAGGCATTACTCCGTAAGTCGAAAATCCAATTGCTGTTTTCAGCTAAAGCAGGATCCATATTTGGAAACCTATAAAGTTGAGTGGCATTTTCAGGCCACATTCCTAGTCTGGTAAATAGGGAGGGAGGGCGGAGTGCAGCAGCATCTCCACCTGAATCAGAGATTCCTAAGCCAGTCCTCGCGTCCTGCAAAAACGAGAACGATAGAACCACTGTCCAGGCTCCGCAGTTCATTCCGAAGCAGGACTCACTTCTTTTTTGCAGATGTTTGCCCACAATCCATTGCTGGGAAGAGGAGGGGACGCCAGAGGCGGCGGCCCTGCTCACTGCAGCGCCTGCTTCTGCTCTCAGGCTCTTTCAACACCAGGGACACGCTCAGTGTCCGAACTCTTCTCATCGCTCATGGCTACAAACACCTACTCTGTCCCTCAGTGGGCAAGTGCCACGTGGGTGTAGGGTTCCTTGGGGAAAAGGCTGGACAAGGGGGCTCACGGGAGCAGGGGTGCGCAGATTCCCGCGCCAGACGGCCCTTTGCTTCTTCTCTGCAGGGAGCTTAATGAAGCTTTCAGGCAGGGCCATGTTTATTTTATGTGAGTCTCGACCAGGTTTACGTCTGACTACAACCCAGCTTGACTTAAGGGGTGTAAGAGAGACCCCAGTGCATCTCTCCATCATGCCCCCCACCAGCTACCGGTGGTACAGAGAGGTACCCCATGAAGTTCCACAATTAGAACCTAATAACTCTGCTTAGAACTTTGATCTGAATTCAGCGCAATCATTTTTTTTGAGGGGATAACACTCTAAGGCAGCGGTTCTCAACCTGTGGGTGGCGACCCCTTTGGCGGTAGAACGACCCTTTCACAGGGGTCGCCTAAGACCATCCTGTGTATCAGATATTTACATTACGATTCATAACAGTAGCAACATTACAATTATGAAGTAGCAACGAAAATAATTTTATGGTTGGGTCACAACATGAGGAACTGTATTTAAAGGGCCAGAAGGTTGAGAACCGCTGCTCTAAGGCCATGTTAAGTACTTGAGATTTGCCACAGCAAGAGGGCATCTGAGGAGGAAAAAGGTGGGAGGAGGCTCCAGTTGAGGCTGGTGGAAGGCCAAGCCGACTGGCAGGTGTTCTGCCTCAGGCCAGCCTGTTCATTCATCCCGTGATGAGTCGCTGGGGGCCAGGCCCCATATCCAGGCAGCAGCTGCACCCCAAGTGAGAGTGAGGAGTGAGAGTGAGCAGGCGTTTGCTTTTCTGGAGCCAGGAATGGCAAGGGAGGTGTGGGGAACAGAAAATAAACAAGTAAATCAATGGGGCAGCTAACTGCAGACAGTAATAAGGAAATGGGATGTGATAGAGAGTCACTAACAAGACAGGGCAGGAGATGGAAGCATCTGGGGAGAGGAGAGAGAATGAAGAGAGAAGGGCCAGTGTGGTCAGAGGACAGTGAGGAAGGATGGGGACGAGGGGCCAGTAGGAGCTGAGGTTGGAGGAGTGAGGTCAGTGTGCGCGTGTGTGTATACGTGTGTGTGAACTGGACGGGCGGTGCGGGCAGTGCAGACTGAGCGGGTCCTGTGGACCTCTGTACGGATGCGAGCTTTTCCGTGAGAAAGTCGAAGTTGTCAGAGGATTTGGTCAAATATAACACAACTTCCATTTTTAAAAATTGTGGTAAAACATACATAACAAAATTTACCTTTTTAACCATTTATAAGTGTAGAATTCAGTGGCATTAAGTACATTCATAATGTTGTACAATCACTGCCTTATATCTTTCCAGAAATTCTTCATCCTCCCCAGCTGAAACTCTGTGCCCATTAAACAACTCCCCAGGCCCTCCCCCAGCCCCTGGCCACCACCATTCTGCTCTGTCTCTGTGGCTTTGACTGCTCCAGGGACCTCACATGAATGGAATCAGACGGCTGGCATATTTCACTCAGCATGTCTTCAAGGTCCATCCATCCTGGAGCACATGACTTATGTTTTATTTTATTTTTTAAATATGTTTTAATTGATATCAGAGAGGAAGGAAGAGGGAGAGAGAGACAGAAACATCAATAATGGAGAGAATCCTTGATCGGCTGCTTCCTGCATGCCCCACACTGGGGATCGAACTATGACCACTTGATTCATAGGTGGACGCTCAACCACTGAGCCATGCTGACCGGGCTGACATATTTCAGAAGAGACCCTCTGGCTGCTGCCCTGAGGACAGACCAGGGGGAGGATGGGTGGAGGCCGGGAGGAGCAATGGCCCTGGTCCAGGTGAGAGAGTGGGGCTGGGACCAGGGGACCCCGGCTGGCATTGCTTGTCTGCTGGCATAGAAGTGAAGGTGAAAGGTTCCCCAAGACACATGAGGCCCCAGCTCTGTAAGGCCTTTCCAGGGTGGAGTAGAGCCCCAGGGCCACCGCTCACCTTGATGAAGTTCACTTTGCAGTGGCAGGAGTCGTCATTCAGGTTCTTGATGACAATCTCCCCATAGTGCTCAATCCACCGCTGCCCGCTTAAGATGTTATGGATGCAGGAGGTGACTTTGTTCCACTCAAAATGGTCCCCGAAACTAAAGGAAGAAAAGGTGAGAGGGTGATGCCCAGAGGAGCCAGCAGGGGATGCAAACAAGCGCTGCTTTTTAAGTAAGTCTTGCGATGGTTACTCATCCCTGCACCTGCGGAGCCAGCACCCACTGAGAACCGGGCCGGGCTCGGCATTCTGAGCCTTCACTCTCCAGGAGGCAGCACGCGACCGAGGGCGACAGCACCAGCCTCGGCACTCTGCAAGCGCCGGAGGCCTGGCTACCTCTGCTGACCTCATGGAACACCTGCCCCCTCCGGGGACAGAGGAGGGAACTGAGAGCCAGAGGTGACTTGTTTAAAGTCCCCAAACTAGGGAAGGGAAGTGGCCATGGGGAAGAATGGGGGTTTTCACAACCTGCTCTCTCCCCCCCACATACATGTGCACACACATGTATATATGCATATAGGTACACACGTGTGTGCATATTACACACCTATATGTATACACATATATCATATGTGTAAATCTCAAGATACATATATCTTAAATCTTTTACAAAGAGAAAGTATTCAGATTCCAGTTCAACAGATGCATAATAATTAATAAGACCAAACACTGGCATGGCACACACCATGTGCCAAGTACTAGTTTACGTGTTTAATCTTCACAGCAGTCCTGTGAAGTGGGTGGTGTATCATCCGCGGTTCACAGGTGGCAGCACTGGAGACCAGAAAGGTTAGGGAACCTCCAGGATCTGCCATCAGCTCGCAGCAGAGCGAGCACCGGGGTCCTGGCAGCCTGGCTCCAGGGGCCACATTTAGTTTTATGAGTAATTGTCAATCAATCATCCCTGAAAGATCAAGGCCATACCCTTCTGAAAAGGAATTCAGACCGTGAGGCAGGACAACCACGTTAACGAAAACCATCATTCTTAGTTTTGTTAGAAAGTATAAATGAGTTTTTAAAAAGCGTCTTTGCTGGCAATTTTGGTCTCAAGGAAGCATTTTCATTTGAGGGGAATAAACTGTGAGGTCGTCACAATAAGGAACACTTGCATTTACTGTCAAACACATTAAAAAACCCAACCAGACACCCAGCGCCTTAGGGATCGGGGACCGTGGGCAGCTTGCTCCTAAGGCTGCCATCTTGGCCCTAAGTTCTCTAAGGTTCCCAACCACAAAGGCACTTACGCCGGCAGAGTCACATGGGTTGTGCCAATGGGAACGATTTCCATGGATTTGCCCCAGAATTTGTTTTTCCATCTCACATCTGAAATGAAATAATACCAAGTATTACACATTTACCAGGAGAGCTAGGTAGACAAAAGAGTTCTTTGGCTGCATAAATGATCAATCACGACACCAAACAATCTCTTCATAATAAAACCCCTTATCATATAGGATAACTTTAAAAAATATATTTTTTATTGATTTCAGAAAAGAAGGGAAAGGGAGAGATAGAAACATCAATGATGAGAGAGCATTATTGATCAGCTGCCTGCTGCACCCCCGCCCCCCCACTGGGGATCAAGTCTGAAACCCAGACATGTACCTTGACTGGGAATTGATCTGTGACCTCCTGGTTCATAGATCAATGCTCAACCACTGAGCCATGCCAGCTGGGCACAGGATAACTTTTTATTATCTACTAGTGACCTGGTGCATGGATTCATGCACATCGAAAGGAAATTAATTAGAAGGTGGCCGGCAGGGCAGGACTGGGGGAGACTAGACACACCCTGGAGCCAACCTCCCTCGGTCCCTCCCCGGCCGGCCACACCTGGGGTAGCGCTGTGGCTCGAAGGGCGTCTGCGGAGTGAGCAGGGTCCCTCTGGCAGGTGGGGTCCCTCGGCCTGGCCTGTGGGGATCAGGCTGAAACCGGCTCTCCAACATCCCTCGAGGGGTCCCGGAGTGCGAGAGGGCACTTTGAAAAGTTGCTGTTGTACAGGGTGTGGAACGCAAACACAAGTGTGCAGTAAACCAGATTCGGGGCCAACAGTGCCCCAGCAATAACATAACCCATGGCCATAGGTGGAATCGCGCGGCCCCACGAGGAATCGGGCTCCCTTCTCTCTGGTTTCGGGTGCATCACCTGAGAACCGCCGCTGCCAAGTCACTGCAGCTCCTGCGTTGAGCGTCTGCCCCCTGGTGGTCAGTGTGTGTCATAGCGACCAGTCAGACGGTCGGACACTTAGCATACTAGCCTTTTATCTATATATATAAAAGCCTAAGCGACCGGCCAACTGGCTGGTAGCTATGATGGGTAATGACCACCAGGGGGCAGACACTCAACGCAGGAGCTGCCAAGCTGCAGTGACTTGGCAGCTGTGGTTCTTGGGTGATGCATCCAGAACCAGAGAGGAGGGAGCCCGATTCCGGGGTGTGTCATCCAAGAACCGCCTTCTCGCAATCCGGGACCCCTCGGGGGATGTCGGGGAGCCGGTTTCAGCCTGATCCCCGCAGGCCAGGCCGAGGGACCCCACTGGTGCATGAATCCATGCACCAGGCCTCTAGTATATATAGATAATTAAAAATTGAGTACTAGGGAAGCTAATGAGAAGATGAAGTCCCTCCCTTGGGAGAGCTCACTGGCTGAGTATGTTGTGTGGTGAAATGGAAGAAGAACATGCTTGGTCAGAGAGAAGAGTGGGAAGACAGATGGGTACAAAAGCCACTGGGCTCTACAGCCTGGCTAAGAAGTCTGGTCTGTGAGCCTCAAGGGAAAATAAGATGTTTGTTTGGACAGAGAACTGATGTGATTAGATACAGACTTTGCAGAGATAACTGGCAGCAATATGGAGAAAGGAATAGCAGCAGGAGAGATGAGAAGCAGGTGACAAGTTGCAACGATTGCCCAGAGATTCCAAGTCCCAGGGCCCACTTTTAATCTTAACAAGCATTTAACAGCCATTCCGTAATAAAATAAAAATCTATAACATCACAAAAAACGAGGGGGTTGAATAGATTAGCACATTACCTTGCCAGAAAACAAAATTTTCAGACTCAGCGTGACATGCAGAGATAGGTGGGTGGTGGCTGACCTGTTGGAAACAAAGGCCAAAAACATTATTAACTGTGTGTCTCCTGAAGTCCCTTCCTTCTCCCTTGCGTTGAGATGTAACAATGCCCAGCGTCAGTTTTCTTTTAACAAGTCTGTCCCTTAGAGGGCGCTTCTAATGCGGTCAGTTCCAATTTGCTCCAGTTTGTTAGGGGTGAATGGAAGCCTCGGAGAAAAGTGGCAAAGTGAGTGATGAGGACAGAGACACCTTTTGAAAGATGTGAAAATAAAAACAAGGGCACGCCAGGGCTGCCCGCTCACAAACCCTCTAATCTGACATCGGCTACTCAAGTCAAAATCCCTATCAGCTGCTCTGAGGGCACCTGCATTTAATTAGATTGTCAAATCACAAATATTTTTAAACGCTACTTCTAAGCAACACAAAAACTCTCAATGCCTCAGCAGATTTCACTCTTGAAAATTGCATCACATGTCCAGTCTCTTTGCAAATTACCTACAGGAAGACGAATTCAAGATCACTTTTTAAAAAAGAATAATGTGTCTACAAACCATTATTGAAGAAATATTAGTCAACTGGTATGAAAAAAAGTTGTTACTCATTTCTGTCATAATATAAATAGGCAATTTGAGTAAATAGGCAATTACATTCTAGAAAAGAGTCCCCTGGGGCAGAGACGGTAGCCGACTCCCTGCCTTTTGACACGGGAGTCATGACTTCTGGCTGACTCACTAACAAAGGAGCTAATGAGGAAACGTGTCCTCGGTCACTGAGGCACGTGAACGGTAAGTGTGCTGTTATTATAATTCAGTACTAGTAAAACCAGAGTGACGTTGGCGGTGGTGTTTCCAGAAACTTCTGTCAGCTGGTTCTTAGCCAAGCCTCTTACATGTAGAGCATCCAGCTAGGCTTCACATTACAAACGAGGAGAGAAACCAGGAAGATTAAGCAAGGTTTCCCAAACACACTGACAGGGAAGAAGCAAAGGGAAAACCCAGCATTTTTTGTTTATAGCATGGTTTTCAGGGGTGGGGTGGGGGGGAGGTGGTGGCTGACAAGGCTCAAATCCACGGCTCTGGACCCTCAGGCACATGGTCTGAAAACCACTTCCGGTGCCACCCCTGTAGGCAGAGAACGGCAGGGGCAGCTTCATCTGGAGTCCTGTCACATACACACTGAACGGATGGCTTTCACCTGCCAGCTCGGCCCGAAGAGAAGCAGAGGCAAACACGTAAACAGCTGTGGCATCTCTCAGTTCTCAGCGAGCGCCCATCTCAGATCCAAGATGCGATGGGCAATGCACCTTTGCTGCCCCTGGACGGTAGTCATTCCCACAGGCCTCCTAAGAACACAGCCCCTCCCTGTGTCTGTGGGATTCGCAGGGGCAATTTTCACTCCCAGCCCTTTTAGAAACCTACCTCCTAAAATGCATGCAAGCATAACCAATGGACACAGACACCAGGGGGCTGAGGGCATGTGCTGGGGGCTGGTGGGTGGGGGAGGCCGGAGGAGGTAAATGGGGGGGGGGGGGAAGGAGACATATATACTACTATTTGTAATACTTTAAGCAATAAAAAAAAAATTCCTGTAATTTATTTATATATCGGAGGTCTTTCTTCACCCTGACCTAATCATTTTTATTTATGCTTTGAATGTACCAAGAGGAGGGAAGCAGATGGGGAAAAGAATGCATTTCAATATTTGTGTATTTTTTAAGTTTTCCTTTTTTGGGATTTATAAAAATATCCCTTAAATACATCAATTCTGCAGCTGTTCCGAGACCTAACTAGACAGTCCTCCTAGTTCCTGACTTGCCTCTGACCTTGTAGGGCAACTTGTGGGGATCAAACCTACAACCCAGGTATGTGCCCTTGACTGGGAATTGAACTGAGGCCCTCCAGAAGGTCGACGCTCCCATCACTGAGCCACACTGGCCAGGGTGACTTCCATTTTAGTAACTTTCAATAACTCCACTCGGCTTTTCTGTCGAGAGTATGTGGATGGGTGGGTAAATGGTTAAAATGACTGGGACAGCGAATCAGGAAAAGCCACTTTCAGGAAATAGCTTAACTGCGCATTCTAAATTTAGACCAAACCTTTCCCAAAGGTACGAAGAGAAGCCACGCCAACTGAAGGGAGTTTCCTGAGCCCCCAGAGGCTGATGAAGCCCCACATAGCAGAGCTCCGTGCCAGGCAGCAGGGGGAGCCAGTGAGGAGTAACTCACCCGCAGGAGACAGTCCAGCAGAGAAAGGAAGTCCTTTCTGCCTGACCCCCCCACCCCACTCCCCAGTTCTGGGCTTATTTAGAAAGCCACGGCTGACTCAGATTTCTTGGCACAAAGAAAGCTCCTTCCCCAAGACGGTGGACCATATGACAGGAATGTCTATAACTTACTCCAGATGCACCTCCTCCTCAGAGGCCACCGCCAGCCACAGTGGGCGCTGAGAACAACGTCCTGTGTGAGTCCGGAGGACGCAAGGCCCAGTGACAATGACAGACCAAAGCCCAGTCTGAACAGTATAAAAGGCTACTTTCCATCGGCAGCCCAAGCCCAGCAGCTCTGAGCGCAGCACCTAAACTACACGAGAGACCCCAAGAGTGTGGCGGAGAAGGGACGGGGGTGGAAACAGCGCATTGGTCAAGGGGCGCTGGGAGGTGCTGATGCCCTCGGCCCCCCGTTTCCACGCCTGTACCTCATCCTCGCCTCCCCTGCACATGGGGGCGGGAGGGGGCGGGGCGTTGAAGATCAAATAAGAACCTGTTCAAGTTGGAACAACATAAAGCACCCTGCACACCTTAACTGTTATGAGGAGAATTTGAACAGCAAATGTTTCCTCTGGTGTCTGACAGCTGAGTCATTCTGACATGGCATTTTTGGGTCTTTTAAGGAGAAAAATGGAGCTCGATGTAGCTGGACTCTGGGAAGTAGCACTCACTTCAACTTCCCGGACCACTGAGCACTTCGAACATCCACAAACCCACCAAACCACAAAGCAACACGCCCAGGGCTTGGAGGAAAGGGATAGACACCAATTCTCAAATGCCTAGAAAACACAGTAGAGAAGCCAAGCTACCCTTGTTCCTTTCGAGGTCCCTTTCACTGGGAGATATGATTTCCATCAACATCCTCGTTAGAATAAAATTCCACCCAAAAATGTTAATTTGGGGGTCCTTCCCGGTTTATGATATTAGTCATTCAGTGACCTCTACTCAGTGTAGGGGTACAAGAAGGCAAAGGAGCCCCGCTCTGAAAGCTGAAGCGTTTGTGTCACCTCCAGGCAACGGACAAGGGTGGCGTGTGGCTGGCTCCATGGAGGGAGAACATCTCCTGGGCAGGAGGCAGGAAGAGCCATGCTGGCAGGGACGCCCAGGACAGAACAGACGCCTTGGCCTCTTTAGATGTGTTAAAGTAGAAGGTCTCTCGGCATAACCAAGGGCAGGTGGGGGGGGGGGGGGGACTGAGCTGAGGTGTCTCCCGCTGGCAGGAAAAGGGAGGGCCTGGCCCAAACTCTCTCCGCCCCTGGGGCAAGTGGGCAGCCCCGCCCATCCCCATCGGCCCATCCCCATCGGGGTAAACAGCCACCTCTCCTCCTCAGGGCACTCGCCTCATGATCACAATGTTGGCTTTCTGAGTGCTCTGTCCAGGGGTGGGGACAGTCTGCCTGGGCCCGCTCACCAAGCCTTCTGGTCCCCAGGGCAAGTCTGTCTGCCACAGCCCATGCAGAGCAGCAGGCTCGTTCATGTACCAAGCTCTGTACCTTAGCTGGGGGGACGGCCCCTGGGGGCTCATG